TTTTTCTGTTAACCCCTCTCATCCCAGATCAGACTAGGAGAACAGAGTTTCACCCTTCCCTCCCACCTTCAAATTCACCCTCTCCCACCTGGTGAAAGGAAGGAGGGGGAGCAGCAGCAGCTACAGTGTGGGCCCCCCTGGTAATAGCCTTGGGCCCCAGGGCACCCTGTAGCCTGCCCAGAAAGCCTAAAAGCATCACCCAGACTCAGCACTTCCTGTTCACCACCACTACCACCCCCAGCAGCTGTGGGGAGAGAAGAAAGTGAGATGGGCCAAGGTGGAACAGTGGACCTGGACCCCAAAGCCCCTGAAGAAAGTCTCTGGCATTCATCTGAGGTATATGGCCCCTCTCAATATAATCCTTTTAACTGCCTTTTCATTGTGGCCCTAACTGTCTGCACCTAGCCCACTGGCCCACCCCAGGCTATTTGCCACTCCTTAATCTCATCCAGATCTTCCCACAGTCTTTCTGTATAGAAGTGTAGATCATAATTGCCCCCATTAAATTGCTCATATTCTTAAAATCTGGCCTGCTTGTATTGGCATCACAAATAGCTTACTCACTAGGAATCTTGCCCACCCCAAATGGTGTTTTAATAAACTACTTGGACTAAAAGGAGGTTTCAGTGGTTGAATTCTTTAGAGGTAGACCTGTACCCTCTGCCCCTGAATTTCAGGGTTCCTAAGACCCTGAGACAGCAACATATCCACTGTGCCACCTAGCTGCTCCTGCCACCTAGCTGCTCCTATGCCATTAGACTTTAAGCTTAGCTTTCTTGACTTTATCTAGAGTTTGCCCTAGAACTCCTTTTAATCCATTGTCAGCACATTTCTGCTAATGAATGAATTTTTATCACTTTTGTCTTGTAATAGCTTCTTAATAAAGGTTCACTAAATCAAACAGCTAGAGATGTTTTTCTCTCTTCAAAGAGATTTAAAAACCCAAAATAATTTTCCTTCTCTTGGAGAAAATTCACATTATCAAGTATATATTTATGCTACCTATTTCCAGATAGAGAGGTGATGGATTCAGAGTGTAATTGAGGCTTTTTTTTTTTACATGCTAATGTAGTAATTTGTTTTGCTTGACTATACACCTGTAAGGGTTGTTTTTCTTTGGTTCTCATTGGGGAAGAGAAAGTGGTGGAATGGAGAGAATTTGGAGCTGAAATAAAATTGAATTAAAAAAAGAAAGTGTTTACCATTGTCAAGATGATCTTGATATAAACAAATCCTGGAAACCATTAAAAAAATCCTTAACTCAGTTTGATTCAGTTCAACAAACATATGTTAAATATTTGTAGAAGGCTGCTAAGTAAGACACAAAGTTTAGATAAGTCATGGTCCCTTCTGAATATTCCTGCAAAAGTAACCATAGTATAAAAGTGATTTAGCAAAGCATAGATAATTATACTTAGATCAGAGAATAAGAACTGGAAGGAACCTTAGATGCCAACTAATCCAATTGCTTTATTTAGTAGATGAGAAAACTGTAAGGAATCTTTTTCAGTTTCAATAGTTATTAAAACCAAGTATGTAAGTAAACTGAACCTAGAATGGGATCTAGATAGACTGTTTGTGTACTCCTTTTCTCTGATTCAGATGTGAGGTTCAAATGAAACCGTCTCCCTACAAACTTGTTTCCTTCTCCCTTCCTTGTATATATAATCATCTTCTTGTTAATTCTTCTTTCTTCTTAAGGGAGAGACAGAGTCAGTGTTGCCAGGTAAGTCAAACTCCTGACATCACTTTGATCACCATAAACCATGGTGATATAATCAACGTCAAAGGAAAGGTTGCTGGTCATAAAGAGTTGAGAGCATAGAAGTGGCAGTGAGGAGTATGTTTACTCCTCCTCCTCCTGGCAGTGTTTTAGAGCATATGAAAGGAGATTCATACAATTCTGGTGTAGGTGGCCAGGGATACAGTGTGTTCTGGAGAAGGCCAGGTTTCCCTGAGTACAAAAAAACATGGGAAAAGTATGAAAATAAGTAGAGTTTCATAAGCATATATATAGAAGAGAATTTACAGAGGGTATAATGGAAGGGGAGAAAAAGATAGCTACTCCAGAGGAGTTGGTCTGGAGTGAATAGGAATGAAGGAATAGGGAGCAATAGCAGAAGAGAGTTTTAGCTATAAAAGGTTGAAGCATTATTGATTTTTTTTACCCTTCCCAGTATGCAATTGTTACCCTGTACCAGATCTCAACTAATGAAGGACTGAGATGATGTTGATTTTCTTACCCTCTCGGTGTCTAAGGCACTGCTTTAGAGCACGAGTTGGCAAACTATAGTCCATGGGCGAAATCTGGCTTCCCATGGTTTTTTGTATGGTCCATGAGCTATGATAAGAATAGCTTTTAGATTTTTAAATGGTAGGAAAAAAAAATCAAAATAAGAGCAAGATTTTGTGACACATGAAAATTATATGAAATTCAAATTTGAGTATCCATGAAGTTTTATTGTAACATAGCCATACTAAATTGTTTATATGTTATCTATATCTGCTTTTGAGCTACAATATTAGAGTTGAGTATTTGGGACAGATATAGCACTCCTATCACTTCACACTGCTTCTTGGCACACTACATATTGCAGTGATATAGTCATAACTTGACAGCATTTTGTGCCAAGCATATCAACATACTGCCACATTTTTTTTTATTACCAGTGCATACCCATCATATCAAAACAAGAAAAGTGGACTTCGAATGGAGGGCTTAGACATACAGTGGAATGTGTATTATTTTGTTATAGAAGTAGATGGCAAAGCACCCTTTATTATGCAATGACTCAATAGCTAAGCTAAAAGAATACAATATATGTCAACATTACCAGTCTAAGCATTTGTCACAATATTCCCAACTCATAGGGAAGCAATGGTAAGAAAAATTAGAAAATTTAAAATGGAATATCTTATCACATGAACATGAAAATGAGGTTACAATTAAATTTCCAAGTAGCACATTTGATAGCCAAGCAAGGAAAGCTGTTTACCAATGGCAAGTTAATTAAATTGTTTGATTACAGCAGCCAAAGAAATGTGTCCAGAGAAAACAAATTTGTTTAAGACTATTTGCCTTTTAGCTCAGTTAAAATTATATACTTGTCAATTGATGTCAGTATTTGGCAGTACCTATCTGTGTGAAAAGACCCACTCAATGATGAAATATATAAAATGTTATAAGAGATCAAGACTAACAGATGAATATTTGCAATCAAATTTGATGATCAGGAATGCTAACTTCAAACCTCAATTAAGTGAAATATCTCTCTCAAAAAGAATTCTATTCTTCTCATTAGTAGACCTGTATTATGAAAATTTGTAATCAATATTTTATAATTTCATCAATAAAAATTTATGGAAATGTTTTCTTGCTTATTATATAAGTACCTATATAACATCCTTGATTTTGTTTCTTGACTTGCATGGCCTAAAATATTCACTATCTAGCCCTTTATGTAAAAGGTTTATTGACCACTGGTTTACAGGGTTAGTGGATCTTTGGACCTTTGACAATTGATGATCTAACTTTCTTCTCCATAATTTTAAATAAAAATATGGAAAACTAGACATATGTAGACTATGAGGCTTTGGAAACACAGGAGTAAATCACTACTTCTATGGTTCTAATTATTTCTAATGTATATTTAAGCATGGCCTAGTGAGGCAGTATGGCACAGCGGGTAAAAGGCTCAGGCTGAAGGCAGTAAAATCTGAGTTTGAATCCTGCCTACAATATTTACTGGCTCTGTAGTCATGGACAAGTCATTCTCTTTGAGTCTCTGGTTCATAATCTGTAAAACTGAAGTAATACCTATATAATACATACCTCACATAATTTACCACAGGTATGAGGATCAAATTAGAAATGCATATAAAATTGTTTGCAAACTTTAAATTGCTATATAAATGTCAGCTAGTCTTAGAAAATATTGTTTTGTCTTATTTTAAAAACTCATTTGCTTTCTCTAGTGAAAAAACTTCAACAGTTTCTGTGAACAAAGAAAAAACTATTTCATTATTCCAGTGCATTGTATATCTTTATTACACATTTTTCTTTCTTTCTCGGTTTTTCCATTTCCTCAACTCAGGTCACTTAATGAGGTTAAACATACTTATACATAATTCCTTTATAAATATGTCCTCATACCTGAGGCTATTTCCTAGCTAAAAACTTCATTTTTCCCCTTAAAAATATATTTCCTCAGTAAATAGTTTGCTGTATAATTTCCTAGTTGAAAGTTGCCTGTTTTCGGTGGCTTTAGTCAATGTGTTTACTGAAGAGAAATCAATGACAAAATAACAGAATTTTTATATTTGATTTATGGGTTTTGCATGCATCTTCAACTCTAAAGTATAATGATTTTGTAGTGTATATTACATTTTCCTTAGCTAAGCGATATAGTTTTGTGACTCATAATTGTCTATTATGGCAAAGCTCTGTGACAATAGAGGAGGCAATGTGGCAGCTTAGTGGTGAGAACTAAAGTCTAAAGCACAGAGTCAACCATAAAAGCCATACAAAGGATGAAATAACTTGCAATCAAATTTTTCAATCTAGCTCAGAAATTAAATTGTCTACTTAGCCAAAGAAATGAAGTACCATGTGATACTAAAAGAAATCACATTTTCCTTTAAATACTAGTTCAGTTTCAAATGACAATAAAATATAGAAAGTGTTACTTGGTGCCATTTTAAAAAGAACATTATTCTTTTCAGCCTAAACAAACACACAGTAGTTAACATATTCATTTCATATTTTATTAATGGTAACATATTATACTTAATAATAAAGTCAATATATACTAACAACCAGAGTTCCTTATGAGCATCTGTAGTCCTTTTGAAAAACAGAATCCATAAAGTTTCATCATGCACTAAATTATAAAAAAATGAGACATCCTTTAAAATAAAAGATATTTTTAAAAAAAGATTGAGCCAGGACATAGAAATGGCATGCATTTTACTTTTAAGTATACTAAAATGCCAAAGAGTGATTAAAATTGAATGCAGACATTTAATGGAGTGATTATTCTAGTGTCCCTGCTAAGGGAAGATTTGGTCTGAACATAACTCATGGCCTCAAAATACCTGAGAAGTTATATTGCTAAAAAATAAAAAGCTCATTCCTCTTGAGTCCATGAAAGCAAATAAAATAATGTATGATATTTTTAAACACACACAGGCAAAGCCTAAAATTAAAAAAAAAAAATAAACAAAGTGTGCTTTAAGAAATCAGGCCTTGAAATGAAACAATCGTTGAAGTTTGTGAATATCATCATGTATTGTAATCATTTATTTTTTCACGTCTTCACTGCTTGGATCTGATCTGGTGACAAGAAATAAAAATGAACAAGCATAAATTCTCACATGGCAAAAATGCACAAAGTAATCCCAAAGTACAGATAGCATATTCCATATCTATACATATTACACACATTTTTATAAAGTTTTATGCTATCACTCTGGAGATAGTGGTAGTATTTACTACACTGAAATGTATAATAAAATAAAATGTAAGCCAACTATACTGTCTAGTGGGTACGGAATGTTTTAAAAAAAAGGTATTTTTAAAGGGGAGGAGGGGAATAATTTATAGTTCTATAAAAGGAACACTTATCTTCTTAAGGTTTTACTAAACAATACACTAGACTTTGTTGGGTATCCAAGAATGCTGCCTTTGTTTTTTAATAAATAGGTGGTTATACAAAGCCCCAAAAACAGGACATAAGAGAACAGGGTCTTAGAGGCCATCCAGTCCCTTTCATTTTATACATGAAAAATATGACACTGAGAAAAGGCAGTTTTTCAAAATGAAGCTTAAAATGTTAAATATGTACAAGATTTGTCACAAAATGAACCAGAATTCTCTCTGAGAGGAAAAAAAACAAAGTAATCCAGTCTCTTAACTTTATATTTTACAATGTCCTCTTCCACAATTTAACTTGACATAGATGTCTTTGGTCAACATATCAGCAATTATGTGAACTAATGAATATAATTTTCTTTATTTGTTATTTTCAAAAACAGCTTAAGGTTAGGTCCACAGTGTAGACACATTTAATAAATGTCTATTGAATTGAATTATGGAAGATATCTAGAGAATTCTAAGGCTCAGCTAAAATGCTGCTTCTTTTATGAGATGTTCAAGGATACTTCCAGCCCATTGATTGAGCTTTCCTTTTAAAATTCCCAAAATACTGTTAAACTTTCTTATGTGCTTATCATTTTGTATTTTGTATTATTGTCATATGTGTACATCTTATTTGCTGTTCTAAATTATAAAGCCTTAGCAGTAGTGATGATATGTTATTTATCCTTGTAACCCTCTCACCATCTAGCACTAGCCTTGCCTATGATTGTAGATACTAGGTAAATGTTTGATGAATCTGATGATTAAGCCATGAAAATATAAGCTGCCTAGTATTACAAAAGTCAATATAACAAAGTACTTATGTCCCCAAATGAACTTATAAATAAGTTTGAATGCTAAGATACACAAATGTTATATTCATAATTAAAAAAAAAACACAGCAATTTAATAGTCATCAAGGCATTTCCCTTATGATTTTGGATCACTACTGACGCCTAGTGGTTAATTCAAAAAAGAACACGTTTTTAGGAAACCTGGTATTGTTCTTTTTACTTGTAAAGACAGTCCTGAGAAACATATTCCCTTCCCCAGTCACCTTTGTAATCATCAGTAAGCATGTGTAAAATGACTGGCATCAACAAGCATTTCTATGTGGTAGGTATGATGCTAAGTACTGTGGAATACCAAGAGAATACCAAACTATCACTGGTCTCAAGGAGTTTATATTTTTAATGCAGAAGCCAATATATAAATAAATGGGTACATATAAGATACATGTAGAGTACATAGAAGATAACTTAGAGGGGAAGGCTCTCACAGCTCAGGAAACCAGGAAAGGACTACTGCAAAAGGTAGCATTTGAACAGTCTTGAAGGAAGCTATTGAATCTAAGAGGTGGAGGTGAGAAGCCAGGCATTCCAATCCCAGCTTTGGGAAGTCAGTTCAATGGTCTGGAAATGGGAGATACAGTGTTTTGTGTGAGGAATAGTAGGTAGGCAATGGTTGTATCACAGAATGTGTATAGAGGACCACAGTGTAAGAAAACTGGAAAGGTAGAAAAAGGATAGGTCAATGGTAAAGTAAAGGACCTTATTTTTGATCCCGGAGGGTAACAGTTTATTAAGTGTGTGTGTGTGGTAGGTAACTTGATCAGATCCACACTTTAGGAAAAAGCTTTGGTAGTTGTATGGAAGATGGATCAGAGTGGAGAGAGACCTGAGGCAGGGAGATCCCATTAGAAAGTTATAGCAACAGTTATGTGAGAAATGTTGAGGGCCTGAGGAATTGAACTAGGGTGGTGACTGTGTGAATGGAGAAAAAGGAACATATAGGAGAGATGTTGTGAAGGAAGAATGACAAGATGTGACAACTGACAGGACATATGAAATGAGAGAGAGTGAGGAGATGATGATACTGAAGTGTCTGGCCAGAGTTAGGCACACCATCATTGCCTTTATAATAGAGTTTTCCTCTATGCAAGTTAATGGCCCCATGTGGGAATTCCACAAGGCCTGAAATTGTTTGAAATCAGTTTCTATAAAGAAAGTGCCCACATCAGTGAGGTCACAAATCCATTGAAGAATTAGAGTTCTAAAGTATAACATGAGTTTAGGCCACTTTGGGCATAGATGTGCTACTATTTACACAATGATTCTTCCGATGGTATTTACCACGCAAAAGAAAAAAAAATGACAAAGCTCTGACCAAGAAGTAGAGAAAAGGGAGGTTTAAAACATTAAGTTCTTGTTAATTCATTTCATTCATTATTTTACCCTGACTATAACAGGAAGAAACTGTATCAAGAGAGCTAATTAAGATCTCAGAGATCTTAATTATTGATTGTAAACATTAGAAATGAATCAACCAAGATTGACAAAAAGCACCTGGTATCATATGAGTCCTTTTGAGAGGAGCATCTTTGAACTTACACTAGATTCTGCTACTATTTACAATGCAAATTTAGGTGAAAAAATGTTTCTGTTTCCTTTCTCTCAAAATAAGATAATATTAACTAACCTATCCATGAAACTATCTTGATGAGTAGCATAAAAATACATCTATAATTCAATTCAACAGACTTTTAAATACCTATTATTTTCAAGGCACTGTGAGCATAAATATTACATTCTTCATAATAATGTTACCTATAGGAGTTGGAGAGAGAGGGCATGCAAGATTCACAAAAGGACAATTTGGTTCACAATATTAATGTTATTTTCCTGTTATTAATAACAAATATTTGAAACCAATTGCAGAAATATGTTTACTGTCACAAGTTTTGGGAAAAAATGTTAATTATAATTTTCATTTCTGGTCACCTTACACTTACAAACTTTTTCTGCACACAAAACCTTAAAAATATAAGAAAATGGAGTAAGATTCTGGGTACTTACTCTGTAGCTTTTTCTGACAGCAGAATTAAGTGGAAGTAAGGGAAAAAAGACAGATGACATAATCAAAAGAAAACTTAGAAAAGAAATAATTGAGTAGAAAGGAAACAAAGGGATGAATATATATAAAATACCAGATGTACCTTGTAACCAGTCTACACCTTCTTGTAATCCTTCTCCCTTAATGGCATCACTAGCACTGAAATATCAAACAAATTACAAATCATGTAAGTGTATAAAGAATTATATTTTAAGTCTATGTACAGAGCTGTCATAATTCAATTATCACATATTCTTCAAGTTTTATAAGTAAAAATAGTAGATAAAGCATCTATTCAAAGTAAAATATGAGAGAGCTGTTCATAAAACCCATTAAAATTTTTTTTCTCCATTCTTTGTCACTTTTATTCAGTAGTTTTTTGTGTTTTTTTTCTCTCTCTCTTATTTTGTTTTTGGTGCCATACACGGCAAGGAATGTTTATAGTCCAACTGTTATTAAAACATAAATACATTAAATTTTTGATGAACAGTTTTGCCACCCTCAAAAAATGCTACTTGTTATACTATACTGACCTACCACCAACAGAACATGCAATTTCAGCTGTTTTTCCAGAATTGACAATAGATTTGTACTGAGAGATTTACACTGAACGTCATTTGTCTATGACTTTTCCCTCTGAATAGTATTTATTTTTAAGGATAGTGTTATAGTCTGACCATGGAACTGGGTCCTTTCTCTGTCTAAAGATAATTGACATGTACAGGGACCAAACTTATAATTAGTCAGTAGAAAACTCTAATCAAATGAATTTTCCAGACTGTCTTCCATAACATGTTCACTGTTTTACTGATAGCCACAATCAAGTTATAAAACTGATAAGAATATAAATTAAGAGACATAATGTCATAAATAGAAGTATATATAAGGAAGACCTAGGTCCAAATCCTTCCTTTTTTGATACATGATGGCACTGTGACCAGAGACAAGTTACTTAATTTTTAGTGCCCAAGACAATTAAGACTAGCAATTATAGGTAAACTGCTGATCTGTAGCACTGGAGGGAGTTTCCAATCTTGCTGAAATCACAAATCCTGTTAAAAAGATAAAGTGATTTAGACCATTTTATGAAGAACTAAATACGCTATCTTTTTAACAAAAATATGTACACTGAATTTAAGTGTGCCTAAAAAGGTATACTGTATTTTCTGTAAAAGTTTCTATTCATTCATTTAGGTTCTTTTCAAAGAAGAAATAAGGTACTGTAAGAATAACAGGTATATGTAATTAGGTCTTTCAGAACACCAAGCTTCCAATTCTCATGTAATCACAACTGATATTTACATAGAACTTTGTGGTTTGCAGCTAAGTGGTAGAGTGGATAGAGTGCCAGGTCTGGAGTCAGGAAGTCCTAAATTCAAATCTGGCCTCAAACATTTATTAGCTGTGTGACCCTGGGCAAGTCACTTAACCCTGTTTGCCTCAGTTTCCTTATCTGTAAAATGAGCTGGAGAAGGAAATGGCAAACCACTCCAGTAACTTTACCAAGAAAACCCCAAATGAGGTCATGAAGAACTGGACAGGACTAAAAATAACTGGACGACAACAAAAAGTACTTTATAGATATTAACAGTGATCTGAGCTAACAAAGATCACAGGGTCATAGCTTTAGATCTGAAAGGGACCTTAATGAGCTCACTGAATGTTACCCCTTTACTTCACAGATAAGAAAACTAGGGTATTTAACCTCTTTCACATGGTTACTTAGCTAGTGTCTTGAGGCACAATTTGAATTTAGGTCTTTTTGACTCCAGGTCCTAAGCACTGTATCTACTGCATTAACCAGCTGCCTACCCCAAACCAGAAATTATTTAGTTTAGAAATTCAGAAATTATTTGATACTTAGTAAAGTATCAGAATTTGGCTTGTTATTGAATAATTTTAAGGCAGAAATAAATATCAGAACACTTAGCCCAAGAAAACAATCTGACTTAAAGTTTCTTCTTTCTCCTCCATTACTCAAACCTCAGTAGCATTATTCTTACCTTCTCTCTAGTCACAGAAAAAGTGATATTCCCATTTCTCATACAAAAGGCTAATTCTTTTATTTGTACCCTAGTTCCATTAGCTCCTATTTTCCACAGAATCTTGCTCCAAAAGTTATCCCCTTTCTCATACATCTTCAATCTTTTTCTCCTTCCATTTGTCTACAAATGTGTTTGGGTCTCACTAATTCTTTAAAAAACAAAGAAACAAACAAACTAACCTTCCCTTGACTCATTTAGCTCATTAATCTGCTATCTTTTCCCTCCTCATTTTCCTATTTAAACTACTTGAAAAATTTGTCTGCTTCCATTTCCACAATACCTATTTTTTTCTCAATCTCTTATTTGGCTTCTAACCTTACTATTCTATAGAAAGTTACCTAAGCACTACACCCAATTTTTTTTTTTTAGTACTCATTCTTTATTTGTAGCTCTTGATACTATTAAACATGTCATCCTAATACTTTTTCTTCCTTTGGCGTCAGCACACCCACATAGATCTCCTATCTTTTTAATCATTCCTTATTTGTCTTCTTCACTAGTTTTTCTTCTGGATCCTTTAATATGGACATTAGGGGTACTGCCCAAGGATTTGCATGATACATATATAAGTGTTCATGCTATTTTATAGTTGTGGGGAACTTTTGGTGAAGCAATAGACTTTGCCAATGCAGACTGACAACCATTTTGTAACTTTAGAAACTTAGAAAGCTTGCGTGGGGTCAAATAATGACTCTATTTCAAAGGCAGGACTTGAATACAAGTTTTTGACCTCCAAGATCATTTCTCTCTTCATTACTCACTATTTTCTCTACTCATGCTGCTTCTCTACTCAAACTCTATGCACTGCCTCAGCTATCTCATATGCTCCTACAGTTTCGCCTACCACCTGGATAAGGATGACTCCTATATCTCTGTCTCTAAACTTTGTGCCCAATCTTCTTGACCTCTTCACTGCTTCTAACATTGTTGGCCATCCCCTCCTACTAGGAGATCACTCTTTTTCTTTGTTTTTTTAGATATATTACAGGTAGATTATTAGACATATTAAAGGCTAACTGCTTCTGTCTTCATAGACATTCAGTTACTAAGGTCTCATGAAGTATAACTTTGCAGTATCTCTTACATTATTACCCTTCTCTTTAATCCCATTGCCACTACCCTAGTTCAGGCTGCAATTACTATCTTCTGAAATTAAGCCAATATCATAGAATTTGTTTATCACAGCACCTTTTGTAATATCCTGGAATGAATGAGAGCACTGGGGGAAGAAAACATTTAAAGGGGAAAAAAGAGAAAAGAAGAGGTGAGGGACACTAGAGAAAAACTTTGGCTACTTCACTTTTTTTTTTAACCTGTAGCTGTTTTTTTGGGGGGATATTTTGTTAGATAAGTTTCAATAATTTAAATCAGCAAGAAATTGTTTTCCAAATATTCAATAAAATCATTTCTAAAAGCAATTAATGATTTACAAGTTCAACCTTATTAGTTTTGCCTAACATCTTGCATTAGTGCCATAATAATCTTTGGAATATACAATACTGAAAAATAAACAACTTAGTTTTCAAAGAAGCATCACATTATTAATGTCCAGCTAGTCAGTGTATAAAGTACATCTTTACTATGTTGTAGTCCAGAAAAGAATGATCAAAGCTGAAAAGTGTGCTTTTTTTTTAATTAGAAAGGAAAGGCAAACATAAAACTTTACCAAATATGCCATGGTTTATCTTTGATGTTTTCTAAAGACAGCAACTGAGACACTTTTACAGATGTTACCGCATCCCTAAGATCCATTTTGTTAGCAAAGAATAAAATTGGTATTCGGCGGTGCTTAATATCTGAGAAAAAAACAAAACAAAACAAAACAAAACAATACTGCAATCATTCTTTAAGTCCGCCATTATCTTAAAGTTATCAGAAATGAAAACAAAATAGGAAAAATGCTTAACATTTGTATGTTTCTATATTCTACAAAATATATTTTAAAATACATACATATGGTCATGAGATGATGAAATTTATGTTTTACTACAGGCAGCAGTTCTGAACCAAACCCAAGGTGGAAGACAATGGAGAGTTATAGATTTAGGAGTTCATTAGAACTTTGGAGAAGCAATTAGGTGCTTGCAAAAAGAAAAAAATCTCATCTCACTGGCATCACAAAAAAGAAGTACACTGGATTTGAACATTAAGAATTTGTTCCAAAGATTTTAGTTTATAGGGTAAATGTAAATTTCAAGAATATATTTCTTAAATTTAAAACACAGTATATTTCAAAAGTAGCTTTGAAAAAGCCCTGAGTCATGGTGTGCCTTTAATGTAGCAAAGAAAAGCTTTAAAACACTGAAAAAATAGTAAGCAAATGAAGCAAAGGGAATTATGTATCTGTGTCATATACTGCATACTTATAAATTTTGGAAAATTTAACTACATAACTACAGTGCAATGTAGTTATTATTACAAAGTACTGGAAGATAAAATCACTCACCTGGATGATTCAAGAGAATATCAAGTTCTTCTTTGGCTACAACCATTCTTAATCTGTCACTACTATCGATGACAAAAATAATGGCCTGGCCTTCTCTGTGTAATATATAAAAGTGAGGAGAAAAATTACAATTGATTACACAAATTACCAACAACTCTACTGGTAACAAATTAAGGTTTCCTCTTTGATAAATATATGTTCCTCCAAATACACTTCACAGGAGATGTTGCTTTTAAACACATACTTCCTCCAAGTATAATCCCTAAGGACCATAAAAAGTTTTTAGAATATAGCATTCAAATTTTGTGTAGTAAAGTTGGGCAAATTTTTCAGGCAAAAACTTCAGAACATTAAAGAGTAATGATAACAACTGACATTTATCCAGTGCTTTAAGGTTTGCAAAGTGTGCTATATACATTTGCTCATATAAATCTCACAACTTAACCTCCCTGGGCCTTAGCATTCTCATCTATAAAATGAGGCCTTTGGGGTCCCTTCCAGCTCTCAATCTCTGATTCTAGAAGTCTATGAACCTCTGCAGGTAGGTACTACAAATGTTTTTCTACATGACAAAAATGTTTTTCTACACCTTGTTTCCTACATGACAAAAATGAGGCTCAGAAAGGTCCAATGTCTTGGTCCACAGTAACAGGCCTAGGTAATGACAGAGATGGAATAGAACCCAGGTCTTTTTGACCCAAACTATGCCACACAGCTTATTTTAAGCATAGCAGGGTCTTAAGCATGGTAGTATTTTTAGATGTGATTCAAATTAATTAAAAGTCATTTGCATTAGTTTGTATGTCTTCCCATGCTTCTCTATATTCATCTTGTTCATCTTTCTTATAGAATAGCGTAATAATCTTTCTTTACGTTCATGTAACGCAGTTTGTTGACTGTTGGATTCCCCCAACTATAAAATGATGGGCATCTACCATGTTTCCAGTTCTCTGCTACTACTAAAAGTGTTGCTATAAATATTTTGGTGTTTATGAGACCTTTCTTTTTATTACCAGTATTCAAGGCATAGGTATATACTTAGAAGATGGTCTTCTGAGTCAAAGGGTACGGACATTTTGGTCATTTTAATGGCATAATTCTACATCACTTTCCAGAATGTTTGGACTATTCCCATCTTTTGTCATTATTGCAGATTTTCTAGGTAAAACTTCAGAATTGTGTTGATTTGCATTTTTCTTATTATTAGTGATCAGAAGTGATCTCTCTCTCTCTTTTTTTAATAGGCAATTGGGGTTAAGTGACTTGCCCAGGGCCACACAGCTAGTGTCAAGTGTTTGGTCTGAGGCTGGATTTGAACTCAGGTCCTGCTGACTTAAGGGCTGGTACTCTATCCACTGCGCCACCTAGCTGCCCAGAAGTGATCTTTTACATGCTAATGGTTTGAAATTCTTTTTTTTTTTTCCTTTTTTGAGAATTCTTTGACTCCTAATCCTTAATGATCAAGCTTGGCTCTGAAGAAGAGACATGAAACCGTATGTACCTCCTGATCTTTTTTACAAAGGTAGGGGGCAGTAAGTGGGAATCCCACATGTAATGATGAATTCGGTTGATATGTTGGTTAGTTTTAGTGAACTTTTTTCCCCTTGATATTCTTTGATATTAGGAATGGTTTTATGGGAGAAGTAGCTATCATAGATTCATAGATTTAGAGATGGAAGGGACCTTAGAAGTCATCAAATACAACCCCCTCACATTAGGATATTATAACTAAAGATATTAAGTGACTTGTTCCAGGTCACACAAGAAGTAAGTGGCAGAGCTGGGATCTGGACCCAGGTTCTCTGACTCCAAATTTTTCCACTGAAACAGACAGCAATAAAAATTAAAAGAAAAAAAGTTTATAGTTTTCCAGGAAATTATACTGTATTTTGGGACAATTAGAGTATGAAAATGTTGACTGATTTTATAGTTGTGTAGCAAAGTTATGGGTGATACTTTGATACTCAATTTCTTGAATAAGAATATCAAAATAAGTCAAAATGAAACGTAATTAAAAACCTCTAAAAATTTCAAGTACACTAAAGCAAAACAATCAATACCTTAACAATGTTGTTTCCTAAAAGACTAGCTTTATAATAATATATCACAAAATCAATTGTATGTAATTTCAACTAAGACACTATGACATTATGTGATAAACCTTTCAAAAGAAATATTGCTCAATCTATAATTCAAACATAAAACTTCTAAGTGGACTCTTTCTCTCATCTAGTAGATTTCTGAATATAAACCATGGATTTCTGTTATGTTCAGTTTGTTTTTTAAAAGTGTATATTAAGTGTAACAACGTAACAAAATTGCTTTGTGTCCCCTCCTGAATGTGTTTTCTTCTGTATATTTTTAAAATGTATTATTTCCTCATTTAATGGATTTTGAAAAAAAGAACTTGGCATACTTTAACCAAGTGGAAAAATCTGAGAGAAGTTTCCCATGCTGTCCCAGTTCATCTTGTTCTATCAAATATCACAATAAAATTATTAGTGCCTAAGAGGAAGTTAGTATCAATATTTAAAAAAAAAAAACCATAGAATCGACAATATACGTGTCTGCATAGTAATATTATACTCACACATAGGCAGCATGGTGTAGTGGAAAGAACACTGAACTGGAGTCAGAAGGACCTGGGATTGAATCTTGGCTTTTCGCATTTACTAGCTGTGTAACCCCAGGCAAGTCACTTCACCTCTGAAAGCCTCAGTTCCCTCATCTGTAAAATGGGGATAATAATATTCATACTACCTACCTCCTAGGGTTGCTGTGGGGGGAAACACTTTGTAAACCTTAAAACACTATATAAATGTGAGCTTCTACTGTTATTTTGCAGTAGGGCAGTATACACCAGTCAATATCAGAATCTAATCCCTCAGTTATTACAGTTTTTAGACAGCACAACTATACATATTATAAAAGCAGTGCTGAGCATAGCACCTTGTACACAGGGGCTTCTTAATAAATTTTTTAAAAAATTAAATTGAATTTGCCTGACTACTGAATCATCTTGCAGATCACAACTATGCTCCTTCCCTTGAGACATTATATAAATTAGGAGAGAATTTAAAACCATATGCCACAAATCCATTCAAGTGTATTAAAATTAACATTTATATAATCTACTATGATTTGCTATTAAAACAGAAACATCCACATCATCAACTCACATTGATACTGATTCAAATCAAATGCTACATATGCTTCTTAAGCACTTACTATATATGAATAACTCTGTGTTTGGCATAGAGGGCAATATGAAGAAAAATAAGGTACAGTCTTTATCCTTAACAACAGTATTAATGTGTATATGTCCAAAATAATACAAAAATAGGATTTTAAGTACATAGAGGAGGTATAATATTCTATGGAAATTAAGAATTTACTTACTTGTAATAATGTTCCCATAGGTTTCTATATCTCCCTTGACCTGACATGTCAAACACTGTGAAAGACAAACTGCAAAAGAAATTCCAGGCAAAACTATGGTCACTAATTGGAAATGTAGTTAATTTTTTCAAATTAAAAAATATCTCTTGGATGAAAGTTTTAAACTGAAGAAGCTTTAATTTTCCAGCTAAATAAAGTGACAGTGAAATGGGATAAGTATTGCTAGTAAACATGGCTTTGCACAATATGGAATATAAAAAGAAACGATCTTTTTACTAGTCAAGTTACCAGAATTAATTTTAATGCTAATATATAATAAAAATTAAATGAACTCCACCTTTTGATAGTTTTCAAATTATTTGTTTTGGAAGAAAAAGGTAGTAATTGAGATTTATTAATCATTTATAATTTCAAGTAACAATACAATTAGAAATTTTTTTAAAACTAACCTGAAGCAAATAAAAACCAGGAGTACACTGGGATCCTGAATTCTCAAAACTGATAAAGGAATGTGAATTTGGATCTCAGGTTATATTTCTCACCAAATTTTATAACCACTGTCAAAACCAACATAGAAGCAGCAACCTAGCTAAATTCTCCCAACAGTTTCCTCCAAATAACATGAAAATAAAGCCTCAAATCGATATTATTGGGACAGAGACAACAAAAGGTTGGGGTAAGACATTTTTCTAGCCTAAGACAACTTAGGAAGTTGGCAGGAGAGATCTATGACATTGGGGTGGGGGCCAGCCTGGAGTTCTGCAGCTGCAACAACAGCTGTGGGCTTTGGAGGAGGCTATGACCGCGACAGCAAATGCAGCAGCAACAGCAGCAGCTTTGGGAGCTCTCAGACCAGAGATGGAAAGGAGATTGGACAAATAGTCAAAGAGATTACAGGGGGTTGACCCTGAGCTAACACTGGGTACTTGACCAGGCTCTGTTTGACAAATCCGTTGCTGCCACTGCAGTTCTGGATTGCAGTTGCAAGGTGGAGAGGAGCAATAGCACTTTGTGGTTTCAGGAGACCAGAGGACAGACCAGGAAAACAGTGACCACAACTCTCCCAGGATAATGCCATCTTGGAAGCACCAAAAACTTGCAGACGCCCAGAATCAGCTTTGCAAAACAGCAATGCATAAAAGCCTGAAGCTTGGGACAGTGCCTCCTCATCCCAGGTGAGCAGAACCCAACTTTAACATAGAGTTCAAAGTCAAGAAATAGGCTAGAAAAATGAGCAACAACAACAACAACAACAACAACAACAACAAAAAACAACCTGACCAGAAAAGGCTACTATGGTGAGAGGAAAAATCAAGACGTAAACTCAGAAAAAGCAAATAAAGTAAAAACAGCTATAAGCAAAGATGAAAAGGAAAATAAAATGCAAATTGGGGACAAGACCAACAAGAATTCTTGGAAGAGTTAAAGAAAGAGAAAAGAGTAGTAGAGGAAAAATTGGGAAAAGAAATGAGAATGATACAAGAAAATTATGAAAAGGGAATTAACAGCTTGGTAAAGGAGGCACAAAAAATACTGAAAAAATAACACCTTAAAAACCATAATTAGCTAAATGGTAGAGGCACAAAAATTCGCTGAAGAAAAGAACACCTTAAAAAGCAGAACTGGTCAAACAGAAAAAGAGGTAAAAAACCTCACTGGAGAAAAGAATTCCTTAACAATTAGAATTGAGCAAGTAGAAGCTAATGACTACATAAAACTTCAAGAAACAATAAAACAAAGTCAAAAGGATGAAAAAATAGAAGAAAACATAAAGGATTTCATTGGAAAAACAACTGACCTGGAAAACAAATTAAGGAGAGATAATTTAAGAATTACAGGACCACTTGAAAGCCATGATTGAAGAAGGAGCCTAGACATCATATTTCAAGAAATTATCAAGGAAAACTGCTTTGACATCTTAGATCCAGAGGGTAAAATAGAAATTGAAAGAATTTATGGATTACCTCCTGAAAGAGATCCCCAAAACAAAAATTCCTAGGAATATTATAGTCAAATTCTAGAGCTGCAGGTCAAGGAGAAAATATTGTAAGCAGCCAGAAAGAAATCATTCAAGTATCATGGAGACACAATCAGGATTAAACAAGATTTAGCAGCTTCCATTTTAGAAGAGCTGAGGGTCTGGCATATGATATTCTAGAAGGGAAAGGAGCAAGGATTACAACCAACAAAACTGAGTATAATCATTTAGGGGGAAAAAAAGAATATTTTTAATGAAGTAGAGGACCTCTAATATTCCTAATGAAAAAACCAGAGCTGAATAGAAAATTTGACATTCAAATACAAGACTCAAGAGAAGGTTAAAAGGTAAACATGAAAAGAGAAGTAATAAGCTTAAACTGTTTACATTTTTATATGAGAAAATGGTATGTGTAACTCCTAAGAACTATATCATTACTAAGGCAGTTAGGATCTACATAGGCAGAGGGCACAGGTGTCAGTCCATCATGTTGGGATGATCTAAAAAAAAATGAAGGTATAAGAAAGAGGGATGCACTAGAAGGAGGAGGAAAGGAAATGAAGAATGAGAAAAATTATCTCACATAAAAGAGGCATGCAAAGAAGGGCTTTTACAATGGAGGGGAAAACGGGAGGGGGATGCGCAACATGAATCTCACTCTCATGGGAATTGGTTCAAAGAGGGCAGAATAAATACACACACACACACACACATTTGATAGTAGGAATTTATTTTAACCCATAAGGAAGTAATAAGGAAAAGGGATAAGAGAAGAAGGAGGTGATAGAAGGGAGGGCAGATAAAAGGAGGCAGTGATCAGAAACAAAACAGAATTTAGAGAAGGGAAAGGATAAAAAAGACAGAGAGAAGGATAAATAGAAGAAAACAGGATGGAGGGAAAGGTACAACTAGTAATCATAAATGTAAATGTGAATGGGATGAATTCACCCATAAAATGGAAGTGGATAGCAGACTATGTTAGAAACCAGAATCCAAAAATATGTTTTTTGTTTTACAAGAAACTCACTTAAAACAGAAAGACACACATAAGGATTAAAACAAGGGACTGGAGCAGAATCTGTTATGCTTCAGCTTAGGAGTGGCAATAATGCTCTCAGACAAAGCAAAAACAGACCTAATTAAAAGACATATTTTAGGGAAACAACATTTTGCTAAAAGGTACCATAGACAATGAAGTAATATAAAAAAAAATTTATAGCAAGTTTCTCTGATAAATGTTCTCAGTTATAGAGAACTGAGTCAAATTTATAAAAATAAGAACCATTCCCCAATTGATAAGTGGTCAAAGGATATGAACAGGCAGTTTTCAGATGAAGATATCAAAGCTATCTAAGATCACATGAAAAAATGCCTTAAATCACTATTAACTGGATATATGCAAACTAAAACAACTCTGAGATACCACCTCACACCTAGTAGATTGGCTAACATGACAGAAAAGAAAAATAACAAATGCTGAAGGGGATGTGGAAAAATAGGTACTCTAATGCATTGTTGGTAGAGTTGTGAATTGGTCCAACCATTCTGGAGAACAATTTGGAACTATGTCCAAAGGGCCATAAAACTGTTGATCCTTTGACCCAGTAATACTACTAAAGGTTTATAAACCAAAGAGAGCAAAGTAAAAGGAAAAGAATCTATATGTACAAAAGTATTTATAGCAGCTCTTTTTGTGTTGGCAAAGAATTGGAAATTGAGGGGATGCCCATCAATTGGGGAATGACTCAACAAGTTGTGGTATAAGATTGTGATGGAATACTATGGTATTATAAGAAACAAAGAGCAGGATGGTTTCAGAAAAATCTGGGAAGACCTACAAGGTGTATAATTTTTTCACTTTTTATTTCTGGTGACATGGCTAATATGGAAATATATTTCTCATGATTTCACATGGCATAAGTGACATCATATTGCTGGAGAGAGAGAATTTAGAACTCAACATTTTAAAAAAAGAATGTTAAAAATAAATAAATGAAAAAATTCCATAACCATCAGTTGCAATAAAATGGAGTTACCTGGATGTCTTGAATTTCTCTATACTGAATCCTATTGTTGGAACTATGTCTTGAGTTTGAGCCTATGAAAGAAAAAAAGTGAAGTTATAAAAATTTCAATTACCCCAAACAGGCTTTTTCTTAAGTTACATCAAAATACTCAATTTTAATAACATCTACGTCAACAGACCACATCCAGTTAAGTAAAAATTATTCTTTTGGATAATTGTCTTTGATTGTAGGTACCTTACAGCAGCTTATATCTAATATTTGCAAATCTAAGTAACATTTTGAGTCTGAATCAACATATCATATCCTAAGCTCTAGAAATGGGCCGTATAGCTTTCTTAATGTCACCACAGAACAACTATTACCTTAGTGAGGTGTTTTTATGGTAACAATGTCTCCAAATCAGGTTTTCTTAACACAAATTTTCCTTACTACAAAAACAATACAAACCAAAACCTTTCCACTCCTCAACCCATAAACTGTAATACTGCCTCCATTAATAAACATATCCTATCTTAATTTCTTTGTGAGGAAAGTCAAATTTCCTTACAGTTACACATAACTTGGTCAGACCTTTTAAAAAATCCCAAAGTTTGCCAAAACAAAACAAAACAAAACAAAAAAACCCAACAACAAAAAACTTTAAGTGTTTTAACCAAGATTATAAGCCACCATTATATAATAATGTACTGAATACTTGTCTCTGATTGAAAAATTTCTGATTTTGTGAATTTAGGATCAAACTCACTATTGTATATCATCAAATTGTCCAATATTCAAACTCAGGGGTTTTCTTTTATACTGAGAAGCAACAATTAAGAGTTATTTCATGAATTTTAAGTTAAGTTATTTGAGCTGATAATATTGTGGTAAGGAAAGAAAAAAAGGACTTTTTGTTCTCAAAACAAAGGAAGATCAACTTGATCTCTAAGTTATAGGGAGATTTACAGTGAGAAAAGAGGGCAGCAAAATACATATTCCTCGATCAACTTCTCAAAAAAACCACCCAGTTTCCCCAAATTTGCCTTAAAATTTCATCAAATGGGGGCAGCTAGGTGGTGTAGCGGAAAGAGCACTGGCCCTGCATTCAGGAAGACCTGAGTTCAAATCTGGCCTCAGACATATAACACTCACTCGCCTTGTGAATCTGAGCAAGTCACTTAATCCCAATTGCCTCACCAAAAAAAAAAAATTCATCAAATGCTTTAGCCAAAATTTAACTGAAGAAATTATTCTGAATTCCATGATATTGATCACAATGTAGTAATTATGGAGATCAAAAACCTTGTCTAGCAGCCTATAATATACTAGACCAACAGAAAAATTATTCTATGTATTTTACTTGAAACATACTTTATTAATAGTTTTAATAGCAATATTAATGAAATGTATTGATATCACAAGCTCACATTTATAATTTCTATAGAATTATATTGGCTGAACAAATGAAAAAGCATTAATTAAATGCTTATTATCTTCAAAACACATATAGTGTATATTATAATTTCTTCATAACAACCCTGAGACAAAAACCACAAATACAGAGAAAATAAAATAGAAAATACATGCTATCCTTAAAGATATCCTTAAATTTGGTCAAACATTTACCATTAGTAGGTCCTCTTACAATACTAAGAACTCTATTCAAAGCAAAGCAAATGTAACTCAGAAAAGTTTGTCCCTTGGTATTTTAACAGTCTTCTAAGAATTGAAAAAATAAAAAGAGAATTATTATAAGAACAAGCCTTTTACTTTGTATCTTTACCATGTATTTACTAAACTGTAGTGCTATGGTTCTAAAAACCACAGATATCAGGTTACCTATTATATGTAATTAACTATTAAGAATAAAATTCTATAATTATTAATGAAGTCCTGCATTTTCTCTTGATACTTTGAAGGATCCATATCTTATTGAACTCTCTCCACCAATAATTAGCAAGCATTAAACACTTACTATGTGCCAGGTACCAGGGATATAAAGACAAAAAAAAAAAATTAAACAGATCTTTATCGCCAGAAGCTTACATTCTTTTGAGTGTAAAAGCAGATGGCAACCCCTCTGTGCCCTCTCATGCTATAACAGTCTCAGATTTAAAACAACAACAACAACAACAAATGAATCATTCAAACATGAGCACTGTAATAAGAGTTAGAAGATCTAGATTTTAGTCCTGGCTCCTCTATTTATTAACTGCATGAAGGAAGAAGAGCCAAGATGTTGGAATGATAGAAAACATTCCAGTGGGCTCTCCTCCACAAGTTCCTCCAAATAGCTCTAGAAAGTACACTGGACTGAATTCTGATGAGGAAATCTGAAAAAAAAGTCACAAAGAGCGCTTTGTCCAGCCCAGCTCAGCACAGGGAAACAGTCTGTGGACTGTGGGGATTAGGGTGGAGCAGGAACCCATTCTGCAGACCACTGCAGAGAGAGGCTTTGCATCAGCATAAGAGTAGATACCTAGACCATATTGGGGCTCTGCCAGATTCCTACCAGGGCACCACAATGAGGATAGGTACCAACTAGCAGCTTTGTAGTTCACTATGCAGTTCTGGGTCACAGATACAGGATGGAGTAAGGAGGGGACCTGTGCACAGGGGTGGTGTTCCCAGGTAGGGAGGCCCTGTCAATAAATCAATCAATAAACATTTATTAAGTGCCTAACATGTACCAGGCACTATACTAAATTCTGGGTATAAAAAAGAGGCAAAAACCAGTGTCTGCCTTCAAGGAGCTTACAATCTAATGGAGGAGACAATATGCAAACAAATATATATGAAGTAAGTTTTGTATAAATTGGAAATAATTAACAAGGGGAAGGCACTACAATTATGACAGGTTGGAAAGGCTTTCAGTAAAAGATGGGATTTTAGTTGGGACTTTAAGGATGCCAGGGAAATCAGGACGTAGAGTTGGGGAGGGAAAGCATTCCAGAAACAGCAGGAGAAATTGCCCAGAGTTGCAAGATGGGAGTATCTTGTTCATGGAATAGCCAGAAAGCCAGTGTTACAGGGCTGAAGAGTACGGGTCAGAGATAAGGTAAGAAGGGGCTAAGTTATGAAGGTCTTTCAATGGCCAAACTGGAGGTTGCTCCTGGAGTTGATAGGTAGCCACTGGAGTTTATTGGGTTTAAGGATGACATAATTGGACTTGTGCTTTAGGAAAATCACTTTAGTGGCTGAATGAAGGATGGACTGGAGTGAGGAGAGACTTGCAGCTGACAAACCCACGAGCAGCCTATTACAAGAATACAGGTATGAGGGCCTGTGCAAGAGTGGTGGCAGTGTCAGAGGAAGGAATGGGGAATATTCAAGAGATGCTGCAAAGGTGAAAATGTCAGATCTTGACAATATATTGAATGATGAGGGGTAAGAGAGATGGAGAAGTCCAGAATGTGAGCATGAGGAACTAGGATGGTAGTTTTGCCCTCTACAGTAATAAGGAAGATAAGAGGAAAGTGATGGTAGGGGGTAGGTGTAGTGGGAAAAATGAGTAACATTTGGAACATACTGAATTTAAGATGTCTACTGGACATTCAGTTCAAGACGTCTAAAAGGCTGTTGCAGATGTAAGATTGGACATCAGTAAAGAGTTTGGGATAGTCCAGGCGATCTAAAAATCTTCAGGATAGAGATGGTAATTAAATCCATAGGAACTTATGTAATGACCAAATAAAGTAATATACAGGACCAAATCTTGAGGGACCACTATGGTTAGAGGGTCTCATCTGGGTGTGGATTCAGCAAAGGAGACAGAAAAGAAACATTCAGATAGGCAGGAGAACCAGGAAAGAGTGATGTCCTGAAAACTTATAGAGAATCAGGGAGTATCAGGGAGAAGAGAGTGATCAACAGTGTTGAAGCCTGTACAGAGGTCAAGGAAAATTAGGATTGAGAAAAGGCCATTAGATTTGGCAACTAAGAGATCAAAAGTAACTTTGGACAGAGCAGTTTCAGTGGAATGATAAGGTCAGAAGACAGACTGTAGGGGTTAAGAAAAGAATGAGAGGAGAGAAAGTAGAAGCACCTATTGTACTGGCCTTTTTCAGAAATTTAGCTACAAAGAGCAGAAGAGAAATAGGATGATAATTAGCAGGGATGGAAGGATCAAATGAGTTGTTTTTTTTTTCAGGATAGGAGAGACATGGGAAAGTTTGTAGGTAATAAAGAATAAGTGACAGAGTGGGAATGATAGAGGTTGGAATCTATTGGAAGAGATAGGATGGAATGGGATCACCTGAACAGGGTTAACTTTGGGAAGAAGTATGTTTACTTCATGTGAGACTGGGGTGAAGGAGGAGAAAGTGACAGAATGCACCTGAGTGACAGAAGATGAAGAAGAGGGGAAGAAGAATGGCCTCAATTTTTTCTGTACTATATGAGGCAAGGTTCTCCACTGAGAGTATGGGGAGGGAAAACCATGGGAACTTTTTGGAGGGAAGAAAACCTTTGGAAATGCCACTGTGGAGAAGGGGAGAATGAATGGATAAAGGAGGCATAACAAGATTATCCAGCAATGGTGAGGGCTCAGTTGAGATTGTGTAACATACATTGGTAGTGGACCCAGTCAGAATAGTTACGTGATTTTCTCCATCCATGTTCAGCAGCACAAATGTAGGAGTGAAGGCAGTAGATGATGGAAGTGATCCAAGACTAAGACATGTCCAGGAATAACTGGTAACATGCTAAAAGGGCTAAAGATTCAAGAGGGGAGGTCAGTGTAGAAGTAAACTGGTTCACCAAGGTGTCAAGATGGAGAAAAAGGGAAAGAGAGGCTAGTATAGGGAAGATGGAAGAGAGAATTGAGGGTTCAAGAGATTGAAGGTCACAGTGTTGACAAAGAGTGGGGTTTGGTAAGCGAAGGGAAAGAGAGGTGAAAAAATAGATTATGGTCAGATAAGGGGATTTCTAAATTCTTTAACAGAGAGGTATATTTATGGGTGATGACAAAAGAATTGCCATCTTTGTGTGTTGCTGAGGTGGGAGTGGAGGAACTCATGGGAAGTGAGTAGTTTGAGGAACTGAGTGGTTAGGGTGTTTGAGAGATACTTAATATATATGATGAAGTCTCCTA